CTATCCCAAAAATTTATATTTATTGCGAGCGTTTTTGTACAAAGAGATAAAAAAATAACAAAAATAAAAATTCCTACTGTTGGCATAGTTTCCAAAAAAACAAAAAAAAAATGAACATGATGAACAAACCACAAACTATTATTGTTCTAAACCCATGTAATGTTTTTTAGACGAAGGATCTTGATGTTTATTGATTTACAGCCCAAGTTAACCATCCTATATGATGTACTAAAAAAAAGAAAAAACTATCCTATACAAGTTCAATTCAAATTACTAAAATAGAATCTTCATAAAACCATAAATATTTGAATAAAATCTAAATCATTGGACTAAATTAGATTGGATTGTGATGCTATCTTTCCTATAAAAGACTAGGCTTACCCATAATTTTACATGCATTTTCTTCCAATAGAGTCATATATTAGCCAATATCGGATAGAATTGACTAAAATACTATTAAATATAGCTATCAAAAATTTAAAATCCTAATATGTAACTGTAAGTATTTAAAATCTTGATTTTCTAAAACCTTGCACAACTACCTCACCTCACTCATCTACTATGCACATCTCTTTATTCAGAAACAAGGCATAGCTGTCGGTGGTGCAATGACGACGCCGGACTTTACTCCTATAACGGAGCCAACTCGGCGTCTCCCATTGCACCACTAACAACCATGTCTCTAACAGTAGAAAAATAAGCTTCTAACACCTCACTTCTGAGTCCATCTCTGCTCATTCAAGACCTTAAATAGAGCTAGCTTAGCTTCCTCTTTCTTCACCAATAATGGTGCTTACGTTTGATTAGAATAAGAATCTATCAGTGGGCTAGATTTGGAGTGTAACTTTATTCCAAAAACACAAACATCATTGTTATTGGCTTCTTGTTTTGTGCTTATGCTTATGTTATTTAAGAAGAATAATGCAATTCAAGTGACAACAATAGATGCGTTCAAAAAAAAAATTGACAAAAATAGATAGGAAATGATTGTTCAATTGTTATTAAGTGGTCTAGAAAAAAGAAGAATCTAAACACCCTTTGTTGTTTTTAATTTATTTCACAATAATTTTTTATTCTTCTTAATGTCTACTTTTTAAAAAGAAACATATTATCTCTGATTGAACTTTCAACTATTGTGGTTTTGTTGAGCTTGGTAGGCTCACCTTGCTACTTTGATGATTTAAATTGTTTATTTGCATGATTTATTGGACAAATTATTCATGTTAAAAATCAAATTTGATTTACAGGGCAAATCGTGAGATTTTTAAGGCCCTAAGCGAACTTTCAAAATGAGACTTTTTGTATATAATCACAGGGAAAAAATATTAAAATATAAATGTTCACAATTTTTATGGGTAAATTACATTGATGACTCTTGAAATTCAAAAGAAATACAATAAAACCAATTTTACATAATACATCAACTTCCTTTAAGAAAGTAAAATCAAATTGAAGTAATACATATAAAAATAATCAAAAGTAAAATATACATTTTAGTGTAAGTGATTTGACAATATTTTTTTTATTTATATAACTAACAAATAATTGATGGAAAGCGAGTTTTATGTTATGTGAATTAAAATATTTAAAAAACACAATATAATTATATCAAATTTATAAGATCAGTAATGGTACAGAGCCCGAATATAGGGGCTCGAATTTGGCTCAAAATTAGGGGGAAGAAGAAGGAGGAGGAGGAGAACTGGACTGGAGGGGCCAACAAAATCGGGCGGAGATGGAGGCGGAGGTGGAGGCGGAGGTGGAGGTGGAGGCGGCGGCAGGCGGAGGCAGAGGTGGAGGCAGGGTTGCGATGCCGACAAGCGACGAGCTGCGAAATCGGCCAACGAGCTGGGACGCCGACGGCCGACGAGCTGCGACAACGTCTCTCTCGCCTATGTGTTCTCTCTCTCGCCTCTGTTCAACTCAACGAAGAAGAAGAAAGAAAAGGTAGAAAAGGAAGAAAAGAAAAGGAAGGAAAAAAGAAAAGAAAAAAAATCAAAACCCAAAACGACGTCATTTTGGGTTTGGAGCCAATTCGAGCCCCTAATTTCGGGCCCTCAAACATTATTCTTATAAGATTTTATGTAATTTTTTCTAACTTTGAAGAAGGTTAGTGTAATTTACCCATTTTCTATCCGTTAGTTTTTACATAAAATTTGCCTATATAAATTACCAAGTAAAAATAAAATACCAAACAAAATCTAAATATACTAAATAAAAATTAAATCAACTATTTCAAATTATCACTTAAATATTATTTTTCTCTCATGTTTAGGTTCAAAATTATTAGTTGCACTTATATAATTTATCTTATCTTCCACCTTTTTTTTTATATTAGATCGCATTACTAATTTATTCACTTTTTCTTGTGATATGATTGATTGAAGGTAATATTCGATTAAAAAATTTTAAAAATATATATATATTTCTCCAAAGAAAATTATAACCGGTATAATTTGTAAAATTTTATAATCAATCTATACATTTAAAAACAATTGATACATTACTTTTAAATAATTTATTTCAATTGGACACTTTTAATTAAGACCTTAGAAAATGTGTGCTCCATAGTTGTATGCTAGTCTTTGTAAAAGAAAAGGAATATGTGCCTCTTCTACGTGGTCTACTTTAGGTGATTGAAAAGGAAAGTCACACCATCTCTTCTCTTTTTTTTTTAATTTTTTTTATTGGTTGTGTATCCTTTACATACAAAAATTTAAAATTAAAAAAAATCCAAAATTATTATTATAAAGATTCATAGTATTTTTTTATAAATAAAGGATTCTTGATAGTTTCATTCTTGCATCTTTGATTAAAAATAATTTATTTTTGAAAAATTTGGCACCAAAATAATCATGATGTTTTTTAAATACAAATCATCTTATTGGGATTTTTTTTTTGTTTCCAAGTGATAAGACTTGCATTTTTATTACATCATTTTTTGTATTCATTTTAAGATTATTATTTTTATTTGTTCATATTACATCACTGGTGAAATTAGAAGCATGTGTTTGTCATATAAGAAAAGCTGTAAAGGTAATAGAGATGTGAGGGTTCAAATAGCAAATTATTGTTATTGGAAGATCTACCAGAGTGCAAATCCCTTTACATTAGCATAAAACAACTTTACTTTTATTTTTGGGGAGTGTTTCCATAATTCAAACTCCCACTACAAAGACGTTAACAACAAGCTTTAGCATTGGCCCAAGCCACCGCTACACGTTAACAAACTAGGGAGGATATAATAAAAAAATAAATAAATAAAATAAAAAAAGAAGTAGAGGAAGAAGAGAAGTATATATAAACATTCATTGATGGGGGAGCATTATATAAATGAAAAATGAGAAAGAAATAATTCCAGACAAATGATGGAGTGCAAGTAAGCACTGTGCAAAAAATGATATTCCCCTTTCATTAATTTTCATTTTCTCCCTAAAAAGTTGACAAACAATTAGACTAAAATTACAAATAAACAAACCACATGTGGCCTTGTTTTGGAAGTTGGCTATTTTACTTTTGGTCTATTTTAACCTGACTAAAATAAATGTATTTGAAAAATTAGTTGATTTTTTTTTTTTTGTAATTGATTTGATGGTTGTAAGAGAAAAAATAAAATAATTATGGATTAGATTGTTTGGGATAAACTAAAAAGTTTATTCTATTCAAGAGTAGTTTGTTGGGAAAGCCACTATGACAAAATTATTATTTTGCCCTTTAAATTCAACTGCCCAAAAAGTCAAAAAATCAAAAGGATAAAATCGTCATTTTGATTTTACTAAAATATTTTATTACACCTCTTTTCATAAAAAGTCAAAAGATTATTCCAAACATACATCTTTTTTTTCTTTACTTTTTTAATCAAAAAGTCAAAAAAGTGCACTTATATAGCATATCCCAAACATACATTTTTTTTCCTACTTTTTTATTCAAAAAGTGCACTTATATAGCACATTCCAAACAACTACTTTGCCTGTGTTTGGCAAGTGGGTTTGCAGGCTTTTTTGGCTATTTTAGCCACAAAAAACAAAATAGGCTATTTTAGCCATAACAAACAAAACATCACATCCAACCCATAATCATTACATTATTCTCTCACAAAAAAACTCAAAAAAACCAAAAAGCCAAAAAGTCCTTCCCAAACCAAGCTTTTAAGCCCAGACTAAAATAGCCAAAAAAGCCAAAAAGCCAAAAAGCCAACCCACTTCCCAAACGTGTTATTGACTGTTTTAGCTTATTTAGTCTTTTAGTGGGCTATTTTGTCTTTGGTCCTTAATTTTTCAATTGTGACACATTTGACCTTGAATTTTGAATCTTGTTTCAAATAAGGATAATTGAAGATATCATTATTCAATTTCAAGGGCAAAGTCATCAATTTTATAAAATATAAACTAATTTGACAAAAATAAATGTCGAAAAAATATTTTTGAATTTTTAAAAATTATTTCTACCCACCAAAAATAAATTTATGTAGAATTAATAAATCTTTTACACATTTATTTATTTATTTATTTTACCAAATTAATTTTTATTATGTGTTTGGATGATGATCATGTAATGGATGGTTGTTTTTATTTTCATTAAATTAGTTTCTATTTTTTCAAAACTCAAATGTAGCAACAACTTTGATATCATTATTAAACCAATCCATTAAATCCAAAAATCCAAAACTAAAAACATTTAATATATTAAATATATTGATTAACCACACATTACATGATTATCATCCAAACACATAATAAAAATTAATTTAGTAAAATAAATAAATAATTGTAAAAGATTTATCAATTTTACATAATTTTATCTTTGATTCATAGAAATAATTTTTAAAAATTCAAAAATATTTTTTTGACATTTATTTTTGTCAAATTAATTTATATTTTATCAAATTGACAACTTTGCCCTTGAAATTGAGCAATGGTGTCTTCCATTATCCTTATTTGAAACAAGATTCAATATTTAAGATCAAATGTATCATAATTAAAAAATCATGAATCAAAGTTATACAAATCTCAAACTATGGGGACTTTAGTGTAATTTGCACTATTTTCTTACACAATGCCCTGCCCTACATACACTTCTCCATCTTCTCTCTCCTAAATTATCACAGACTATATCAACTTCAAAATAAATAAAATAAAATGAACAAATAGAACCACTAGTCTTCATGTGAAGCAGAGGGTTCCCCAAAAAAATTGCAGCAAAAACTGTATAGATCAAAGTCTACTTCCTATCAAACTAAAAATCATTCAAAAAAAAAAGAGATGACAGTGTGCATGAGACTTCAGCTAAAAAGAGGCAACTAGCCAAGTCGCCATTTCCTATCAAACTGAAAATAAAAATCAATAGAGAAAGTGCAAAAATGTGGATACAGAAAAAGATTTCTCTTTCTGTTTTAGATCACTAGACAAATTTCAACAAAAGACTATTTGTTTTGCTTAGGATTTGATTTGCTCGGCGGTGCTGTCCGCAGACTAGTCTCCACAGAGACAGAGCCTTGAGGCTCCTTCATTGCTCCTCTCAACTTGTTTGGATCTACAGAAAGTGAAGAGACAGTGAGTAGCAATTTTCTTGACTGACTTCTTTCTCTGCCGGGAAAAATCTTTCTTTCATAATGAAGAGATAAAGAAGAAGAATAAGACATAATAAGCAAATGAAGGAAAATCAAAGCAAAGAAAACAAGCATGGCTTTGTGGCTGTTCTTCATTGGGGTAGTACTGTTTGGATTGGAAGAAAATGAAATACTGATATAGCTAGCAAATTGGTGAAAATATATATATATATATATATATATATATGGAGCTGTGCTTCATGTGCTGATCTCTTTCTAAGAAAGATGGCAACTCATGTGTGTTACTTGTAGCTTGTGCTTAAGCCTGACAAATCATGTGGAATATGTATAGAATATTTCTCAAAAGATCATACCTTTACATTTAATAAGGATTAATTGTTGTTTATGAATAATAAGTCTACAAGCTTACTTTGACTAACCTTACTACTAGTAGATATATGCAGAGATCAACAATATAACTAGAAAAGTTGTCAGAATTTGAAATTTAACGATCACGTTATAGTTTAATAGACAAAAATAACTTAGATAAACTAATTATTAAGAAATAGGAAGAAAAGTATTTTTTGTTTTTATTTTCTGATTACCAACTTTCGACTTGCAAAAAATTACACCAAATCAACCCTAAGATTAGCAATTCTATGGGTAGGCACACTTAGATTTTGAAATCTATACATATCAAAATCAAATTCTCTTTCCTAGTACTTTAATAGGTTGGGAAGTTGGAAAGCAACTTGTCATGTGGTAATGAATTGGCTATGATAAGTTCTCTGACTTCTATGCAGTCCTTTATGGACACTAATAAAATAACATGCCTCATATGACTTATCACATGACACCAAATAATTCACCACCTCTTCTGTCCTTTCTTGTGTAATTAAATCCGTAATCAGCTTCTTATTATTTTTTAATGTAAGAGTAACAAAATACAGCTAAACCTGGCTGGTTAAGCATGCATTCCATACCTATGATTACCCATCATCAGCTTCTAGGAAATTGCCTCATTTTCACTTTGTGGTACTTTTTATGGTTTTGGAATGGCGTTGGCTACTGTCCGGTCCTTAATCGGATTGGAACGTGCTGTTGGGCTTGTGGAGGCCCACCACGGATCCCGTTTTGATAATTTGAACCGTTCCGTGTGTAGAAATCGTCGAGTACTATAAGCCTGTAAAAATCACATTAATTGGATATCGGTAGGTATGTGATCAAATCAGATTTTTGTCAACCGTTAATTTATTCACTGTCCATTTTTTTTTATACAAAATTGATTTGATCACATAGCTACCGATATCCGATTAACGTAATTTTTTACAAGCATATAGTACTCGATGAGTTCTACACATTGACGGTTCAGATTATCAAAACGGGACCCGTGGTGGACCTCCACAGGTCCAACAGCACGGTCCAGTCCGATTAAGGACTGGACAGAAGCCAAGCCCTTTTGGAATCTTCTCCTAGTTAAGATGGGGACCAATATTATCTTTCTTTTGTGGGTAAATTATCTATGATTTTGACCTAATTATAAAAAATAATAAATTCAAGTTAAGCTAAAATTTTGGATACTAGAGACCTAAAGAAATAAGCCAAAATTAACCGAAATCAAGCCGAAAATTCTTATAGATAAAATAAAGGCCTAAATGATGAAATATATATGAAAAGCACTTTAGATCACAACAGAGCGGTGATTTTGACTATTTGACCATTTTCAATAGAACATGGGCTTTTCGGAGCTAATCTACCAACATCAACTTTGAAACATCTATTTATCATTTTGTCATCATACAATTGAAATGGGCTAAATAAGTTGAGGTCACTTAGCATCACTATTTGTTGTAAGTCCTGATTGTAAAGGGATAGATAAAACTATTTAATCCCAAAATAAAATTATCATTTATTTGATTCACATTTTGGTGACGCCTGTGTATTCCGAGGACAATTTTATCCTGTATTAGTGAAATCATCAATTAGCTAGTTTTATTCTCCATTTAAATGTGTTTTGCATCATAATGAGATCATGAGCTGTATTTAATTTCGAAGATTTTGGATCTTCTTATATATGTTTATATAAGATTCCATCTTCCGCGGGAGGAAGAAAATCTTCTTGGTTATAGTGATTAAAAAAATAAAGCAAAATGCTACAAAGTACAAAAACATGGTCTTGAGACTCCACTTCCCATAAAAAAAACTTATAGAAATGAGCTTACACATATTGTATTAAATACACTCAACTTTTATTACATTTCACTGATCGCCCAAAGTTGTTATAGATGAAAAATAATTAAAGAAAAGCAACAACAAAATAACTGCAAATGAATTATAGATGTGACAGGCCTATGTTTTTGTCATAAATTTGCCACACATTCATTCAATACTTTGGTGATCTGACAAGTTTGATGCATTAATGTCTTTCCAAATAATATCACTAAAACCAAATACTCTAGCAAAACAAGAAATCAACTGCTCATGAATCACATCTTCAGCAAGAAGTACCTTATCTGTCTCTCTTCTCAAAGATGTAACATCCTTGTCCGCAATCCCACAAGGCACAATATGCTTGAAGTAGCTTAAATCCGGATCAATGTTAAATGCCAAGCCATGAGAGGTAATCCCAGACGAAATTCGAACTCCGATTGCGCCAATCTTTCTGTCACCTACCCACACACCCGTTTCGCCCGTTTGTCCAGCATGAGCATGAGCTTTCACACCATATAATGATGAAAATTCAATCATAGTTAACTCGAGTTTCTCCACATATTTCCGTGCACCAAGTCCTATATCCCGAAGAGATATAATGGGATATAAGATAGCTTGATGTGGACCGTGGAATGTAATGTCTCCGCCCCTCTGTGTGTAATGAAGTTCGGCTCCTATGTTTTTTAGGTCAGGTTCAGGGACTAGTAAATTGTGATCGGTTCTCCGTTTGCCAAGCGTATATGTAGGTGGATGTTGTAGGGACAAAATCGTATCAAAAATCTTACGGGTTTTTCTGTCTGAGACCAGCTTGTCTTGAAGCTTGAGTGCCTCCAAGTAGTTGACAGTGCCCATTTTCCAAACCTTGAGATTTCGAGAAATTTGCATTCCCTGTGAATCATGGCATAATCAATTTCATTAACACTTAGGGATGGCAATAGGGGTTAATGGGGTGGATATTAATTCCCCATCCCCATTCCCCTATAATAAATTTTTCCCATTCCCCATGGGTACCACCCTCCCCATCTCCTAATGGTTTGGATTTTTCCCAACCCACCTTAATCCCCATTTTATATATATATATATATATAATGTTAACAACCAATTTTATTTTTATTTTTTAAATTTAAGGTTCACAACAAAAGCTAAATATATCTTCAATCTCTTATCTTTTTTTCTTTTTTTATTTAAGGTTCACAACAAAAGCTAAATATACCTTCTTTTTCTTTTCTTTTTTATAATATATTTAATGTTAACAACTTTATTTTTTTATTTTTTTATTTATTTTTAAGGTTCACAACAAAAGCTAAATATACATTCAATCTTATTTTATTTTATTTGGTTCAACAACAAAATCAAATACACATTAATTAATTAATTAAAAAGTTTGTTTTATAATAATCAAATATATAATTTTGAGACAATCAAATAAGTTTTAGTAATTGAAAAAAAATGTGGAAGAATGTGGAACATTAAAAAAAAATTACAACCACTCATTTTATTTGCAGCCCGCCTAGTGACAGCAAGATTGAGAGAAAAATATATACACGATGTTGTTTCTAAAGTTATAGCTCATTTCTCCAGACTTCCTATATCCTTTAATGTCTTTCCATTAACAATATAGTGATGAAAATATGTCTGACATACTGGTGTATTGAGTCAAAGTAAGATTGCCTATTCATAGTAAAGTACATTTCCAAATGTTTAGAAGCCAATTTCAGATTAGGAACTTACACAATAAAATATCGCTAGCAATAACCAGATCCCAATCCATCAAACAATTGAGCAAAGTTAAAAGACATACAAACGAGGGATCTACTATACCTATCATGTCTTATTGTTCATTCCCTAAGTCTAATTTTACAATGAAAAATTAAAAAAAAAAATTCCACCAATCATGAGAATGAAGGTCAAAAGCATCAAATCTTATTGATAGTCCTCACCAATATTTTCTTGGATCTATCTTCCTTATCGTATGAAAGAGAAAAAGAACTCACACTTAATGTGAGAAAGGAAGGAAGAAATTCCATTAACTCTACAATTATGAGCTATGTTCTCTGCAATTTCTTGATCATCATAGTCTGAGGTAGTGATGTCAAGTTAGCAAGAGATAATATTTTTAAAAAAGAAAAAACGTGATAGCAAGAGATACTTAAGAGTGTTTTTTTTTTAAAATTATTTCTTGAGTCAATTGTTCATAAAATTTGAGAGATTGAGGAGGATGTGGCCCAACATGTCTTTTAATCCTATTGGTGTGTTCAGAGAATCTTGAGTTTACAATTAGTTGTAACCCAACAGAAGTATTGTTACTGATTAATTTGCAAAAGTTAGCATTTGCAATCATTTAATTTTAACAATGGGCCTTTGATGCGTACTCATTATATTGTTCAAAGTTGTTGCATCTTTTGTCTCTTGAAGTTTCTGTTTCTATAGTATTAGAGGTTCGAACTTTGGCCCTTACATTCCATTTTCTGCCCATTTTTGGGGTAAAATGTGCAGACAAGAGCCAGGAGGAGATGCAAAAGCAGAATCCATGCTCATGCACCATACTTTGAACTGGGAAGCATATGCTTTGCGACAGCCACAACACGGTTCACATTTTTGATCTTCCTCTATGTTGTAATTGTTATGTAACATTCTAAATGGCTTTCTATAGTATAGCAGGGTTACATTTGTTACTTGTAATTGCTTCTTCTTTTGTTTGTGTTGTTACTCATTTTTCTATGAGTGAAATCGAGTTTCTACCATGATTATGATTCTCATCCATTATGGAGTGTGGTAGGGTTGACTGTTCTATTCCTTTTGAGGTGTGGTACAGCTTGTGTATGTGTGCACGTGTGAGAGTGATCCCATCTGTAAATCTGATAGATGATAATCGACAGAATTTTTATTATGGATAATAGTCAAGAAAAGATGTAGCAACCTCTTTACTTTGTTTATTTGTGTCTTCACACCATTATGTCCATTAATTCCAATCACTTTACCTTACTAAAAGAGATGTCGGTGTAATTACACTAAAAATATGGGGCTTATTATTTCTTTTCTTTCATTATTTTATTTTATTTTTTCAAATCTTAGGAGAATGGATCCATTCTTTTATTAGTTTTACATGAACAGAGGAGCATTAGCCAATTCAACAGCTGATCAACACAACAAAGTGAAAATTCAACAGTATTGATCAATAATTGATGAAAGTAAAATTGAAAGATTGGATTAGTACCTGAAACAATCCCTAAAATCCCAAGACTCTCTCTCTCTCTCTCTAAAAACCCCTATTTCTGTCTCTACAAGGGATCAACTTTCCACTCAACATTCTCTTCTCTCTCTCTTCTTATTCAATGGAAATGTTAAAACACTCATTTTATTTTGACTCTATAAAGCAACCAATCATCAAAACAGAGATAACCTATTTGCTTAAAAACTTAAGGAGTAGCTATATTGATCTTGATCATTTGCAGAGACAATTGCCATTTTTGCAACAAAGCTTTTATGCAATCCATTTTGACCCTAAACCCTTTTAATATAACATAACATAGCACAGTCCCAAGAAAATAAATAGACAGTAAATCAATTTCATCTTCCACATGAGAAATCAAAGCTAACAATTTCCAAATATATCAGAATTCACAACTGATTTAAATCCATAGCTTTAAACAACATTGAGTTAAAATTTCCATGAATCAAAGCAACAACTCGGTGAAGCTAACCGTATTTTCTGCTGATTGATGCGTAAGTCTCTTCGACAGGTTTCGCCAATTGCAAAAGAGTGCCAAAAACTCTGTGAAGCAACAACTCTGTTTGGAAGTTGAGAAAGTGACGAATAGATGAATTTGTAAACACACACAGAACGAGACAGAAAGAGAGAACGAGAGAGAAAGAGAGAACGAGAGAGAGAAACTCACCACGCTGGAGAACCACCGTGGTAACGCCGACGGAGATCACCGCCGCTAGATCGTTGCCTTTGCAAAACCTATGGAGATTGTTGCCTTCGCTGCTACGTGAGAGTGAGAATGAGAAGCCGTGAGAGGAGATTGAGAAAGAGAACCCTAACATATGGGGAAATGGGCGGGTACCCATTCCCGACCCATATCCTATGGATATTTTAAAAACCCACTTAATTAATCCTATTAATTAATCCTATGGGTAAAAAAAAAAAAATCATATATTTGGATTGGATCTCTATGTATACTCATAGGTCCCGTTTGTTTGGAATTATAGGGAGGGGATTGGTATTACTAATCCCTTGGTATTACTAATGGGGTGTTTGTTTTAAGAGATGGGGAGGGGCCTTGGTATTAGTAGTCCCCTTAGAAGGGGGATTGGTAAGGAGGAGATAGAGATGGTATTAGAAAAATAGTGAGGGGATTAGAAATTTTTTTATTTTTTATATATTGAGAATTTTTTTTAAAATATTAATGTTTAATTTTTTATATTTTTATTTTTTATATTTTTTTATTTGTTTTATTATTTTATATAAAAATAATTTAACAATTCCTCACTATTAATCCCCTCACTATCAATCTCCTCCATTCTATCTCTTAAAATAAACGGGGCCATAGGGTAGGATTTCCATTGCCATCCCTAACACTGTTTGGTTCTCAAAAACAGTGAATCTGGAATGGAAAGGAAAATAATTTTTTAAAAGGAAATCAAGACTCTTTCTTTGGTTGCCTAAAGAACAATGTTAAAAGGGAAAAAAAACTAGTAAGTAACCAAGTTCTTCGATCAGCACAACTGTGACCATTTTCATTATACTTTTTAACTAGTTTTCATATAAATTGTGATTACTTTAGGACATGTTCAGTTTTAACATCATAAATACTGAAAGATTTAAATTTAAATTCCATAAATAAGAACAATTTGTCATGAACCTAAGTGCATCAAATAATCTCAAGTTGATGTACAACCCATTAATCAAAACCAAGAATTTTCACTAATATAATCACAAAATCTCATTCAGGCATTTCATCAAACAACACATAAGCCATTGTTTGCGAAACCCATTTGTCCACCACATTGAATAAACTAGTTCACAAAGTTCATTGAAAAGCATTATATTTTCATAATATACAAGTAAAGATCTGCAGCAAAAGCTTAATAAACTAGTTCACAAAGTTCATTGAAACATTATATTTTCAGAATATACAAGTAAAGATCTGCAGCAAAAGCTTAACCTTATAGAAGACGAAGTTCATTGAAAAGCATTATATTTTGGGCTCCAATCCAAACGGAGCTCAAGCGGTTCTATGGAGGAGATGAGCGTCGAACCCTTAACCCTTTTACCAAAACGACAACGTCTATTGGGACCAATTAATTGTTGGGCTTAATTACAATTAAAGGGATTTATTAGAAAAAAAAATTTTAAGTGTTTGTATCTCAATTAGTTTATGACATATTTTTATATTTCAATTAGTCCTATTATTTGGACATTTAATCTACTAAATCTTAATTCTTAGGTATTTTATGGATATTTTTACTCTTACAAATATTTTTTGAACAGTTAGCAATTTGGTGATGTGAATATTTATATTTTATAATGTAAATATTCACATTAACGTGTGAATGTTGACATTGATAGTGTAAACATTCACATTAACATGTTAACATTCACATCACGGAATATTTGCACTGAAATGCGAATATTATTGGAAGTATTTTGATAATTATGTCACCAATATGACTTATTGAAATATAAGAAAATAATGTAGAGTAAATAGAAAATAAGTGGGTGAAAAGAAATTTATGAAAAAGTGCCCCTTAATTAAAGTAATAAATAAGAACAAAAAAACTAGGATCCCACAATTTGGGACTCATAATCTACCTATAAATAGATATGTATGGTGAAAATTAAATTGATAAAACATGAGATTCACATATAAAATAAATTTGAGTCATTTATGTCTAATTTTGGTTAATTTTTGAATTTTTATGTGTAGTATTACTAAAATAAGAAACTATTTAGAATTAAATCCATTAAACATAACAATTTATTTCTGAGATTAAATTTTAATTAATTAATTATGAAGTGGTAAAATATATGTGCAAAAATGCCTTTTTAGGTAAGTATATTATTTTCTCTCCACTACAGCGCTTGTCATCATTCTCTAACAATTGTTACCACGTTCTCATGCCTCACATTTATGAAGATTTTTCTTTCTTAACTAGACACAAATCGTTGACTACCCAATTTCATTCAAATTATCTCGAGCTCTCACAATTCCCTATACGGTGTTGATTCTATGGAACATCGGACAAACTAGACTATGGGCAAAACAACCTTTCAATGCACACCTTAATGTTTTTTAATTTATGAAAAATTAGAGGCACGGTCAATTCAAAGGGATTGAGGGGTTGTTTGAGTATATATTAAAATAGTATATTTATTGTATTATTTATATTTTTTAAAATTACGTTATTGTTTTTTTATTTTTTTGCCCTTTTTTTTATAAAAAAAAATGTTAAGATAATATATTCTCAAATAATGTGAATTGATAGCCTGAGATAATGAAAGTTTTGGAGAGCCATTTGATGAATGAGGATTCAAAATGAACATGTTGGGCAAGATATTAGGCTGGTAATCTAATCAATATATTAATGAAATTGAAAAATTATATTGTGAGTAAGATGATAGACATGATAAGATAATATGTAATCAATATATTGATGAAATTGAAAAATTATATTGTTGGTGAGACAATGGACATGATAAGATAATACAGAACTACCATAGTATAGTAAAGGGGAAATGATGGACAGCAGTGGTTGGAGATAGGAATGGCAACAGGGCGGGTTGGGGCCGGGGATCGCCCTCCCCGTCCCCGATCCCCGATGGCAAAAACCCCTTCGTCCCCGGCCCCGAATCCTGACGGGGAAGTTATTACCGTCCCCATCCCCGTCCCCTAACGGGAATCGGGTTTCCCCGGCCAAAAAAAACAAAAAAAAACAAAAACAAAAACAAAATCAACATCAACATAGATCATGATGATCTAAATCCAACACACAGATCCAAAACGCATTATTCAACAAATTCAACACACAGATCCAAAAAAAAATTATAGATCTACTAAACATTTATTTATATATAAAGATCCTGAAAAAAACATTTAGATATGTTAAAAAAAAAAAAATCTGAATCCATATATATAAAGATCTATATCTATAAAAAAACATTTAGATATGTTTAAAAAAAAAAATTAGATCTGAATCCATATATATAAAGATCCTGATTTTTCAAAAAAAATCATAGATTAGTTTGTTTCAGATCTATATCTATAAAAAAAACATTTAGATGTGCTTCAATCATTATAGATCTACTTCAATCATCATAGATCTGCCTGTTTCAGATGCTTCTTCAATGGCTTCAGATGCTTCTTCACGGTGAGTGAGTGAGTGAGAGGGAGAGGGAGAGAGAGATGAGAGACGGTGAGCACGACAGAGATTAGAGACGGTGAGTGAGTGCAAGGGAGAGAGAGATGGAAGGGAAGAGAGAGAGAGAGAGACAGTGGAGGAGAGGAAGACTCTTCCTGGTAGAGAGATGTGAGGAATGGAGAGAGAAAGAGTAGATCAAATGAATAAAGATGAGAATAAAAAAGTATATATCAAATGAATAAAGATAGAGACGAGAATAAAAAAATATATATATAATACATATATCATTCGGGGGACAAACGGGGTGGGGCTCGGGGCTGGGACTGAAATATGTATCCCCGTTCCCGGCACGAAAATTATCGGGGATTTATTTTTTTATCACCATCCCCGGTCCATTGGGGGTATTTTTAGGGGAATAACCGTTATATTCGGGATCGGGGGGTCGGGTCCCCATCGGGTCGGTTTCAGATTGCCATCCCTACTTAGAGAACATGGAAAAGGGCTAGTGGTTGCCGTGGGAAAGTGAAGCGTATGGGTTGGTTCAGTGTAAGATTTTTGAATTCTTTTCACAATACGATTTGAGTTTTTATAGTTTATTATTGGATATTTTTTAGTGTTTAGAGCACTGGAGGTCTTAGTTTCAACCCGATGTAAATATGACGAAGTTTCCTACACATGTATTGTGAGTGTTAGAGCATCTCCAACAGTAGTAGGCATTTTACCTATCTAAATATTACTATAAAGTATATATTTTATTTTGTCTATCAACTGTTTTATATTTTTACTCCAACCATGCTCTTTATTTTAGCTATTTATCCAAATACTATTAATTTTATAGAATGCCACGTCAACAACAAAGATGGAGGGAAATGATCCTAATGATTGAATACATTTTGCCTAGCGTTGAAGGCTAGCTGTGTCAAATAATATGTATATTAAAAAAAATCTAAATTGTTACAAATAATATTTTAGACATCATCAAAATTAAATAATATGATTAACAAATACGATTTGAGTTTTTATAGTTTATTATTGGATATTTTTTTAGTGTCTAGAGCACTGGAGGTCTTAGTTTCAACCCGATGTAAATGTGACAAAGTTTCCTACACATGTATTGTGAGTGTTAAGGGATAATATTCTTAATGGATATGTAGAATACCCTATCCACATATCCAATTTATGAATTAAAAAAAAAAGGAAGCATATGGACAAAAAGACATATTTTTTATTTTTTTTTTTATTTTGCAATTAAATTTACAATAAATAGGTTTGAAATAAAATCTTGTTTTAATTTTACTTAATTATAAATATATATTGTTTTAATGTTTGACTCAAATTTCACTTTAATCTAGATAATTTTAATTTAAACATATCAGTCCCTATGTTTTAAGTCTAATTTCAATTTAGTTATTCCATCAATTTTTTTTATTAATTTTATTTACATGTGCAATTTAAAAAATTGATAAGTGTTTGAAAATTATTAATTTTAATCTCCAAATTAGATAAAAGAATTAAATTAAAACCTTAGAAAATTGATAAATGTTCAAAAATTATTAATTTTTACCTTTAAGTTAGATGTAAATACCAAATAGAAACTAAATTTAAAGTGTAAGAACAAAATTGTTCAAATTAAAATTATAAAAATTAAAAGCCAAATTATATGAGTAAAAAGTGTAATTAACCCTTTTTTATTTAAGGAAAATTAGTGAAACATCCTTCTTCAACTTTGTGTAGTAGAAGAGGTCCAATATGTTTTTTTTTTATTACTTAAGGTCTATCAACATTTTCACAGAAAAAATTTGACTTAGAGAAATTTTATCCAATTAAGAAAAATTTCGGCCATCTCAAAGAAATTTCGGCTCTGACTCAATGAAATTTTAATTTTTTTCTCAGTTAAAATTGAAATTTATTTGAGTTCGGAAAAATTTCTCAGAGTCGAATTTTCTCTATAAAAATATTGAGGGATCTTAACTACTATAAAAATATTGTATGTCTCTTATCTTATAAAATGTTAATATCATGGACCTTTAAAAAAAATTTATTTTATTTATTACCTCAGTTATAATTATTAGAATAAAGCTTTGGACCCCCAGTGGGGGTACTGGGGGTCACCTCCCATTGGTCAAAAAAAAAAACAGTTTTTTTTTTTTTTTTTTAAAAATATTGAGGGATCTTAACTACTATAAAAATATTGTATGTCTCTTATCTTATAAAATGTTAATATCATGGACCTTTAAAAAAAATTTCTTTTATTTATTACCTCAGTTATAATTATTATATTTGGTTCCTGTTTTCTAAACCCATTTTTTTAAGAATTTTGAAGTTTTTGTTTGATTGTTTTGAAAATCGAACAAAGTTTTTTGAAAACTAACAAATTTTGTTGACGTGGCAAATTTTTTTTTTTAATTGTCTCTCTCCTTAAATTGGAAAGAAACTTAAATTTACATTAATATATATTTTTTTGAAAACCAAACAAAGATTCTTTTTCAAATCATTTTTTTTGAAAAAATAAGATAAATTACAAACGTACATTACAAAATATCTCCTGTGATTCTAGAAATTACATTATATCTTCTAAGGTTTCTAATTTTATAACATATAGGTCATTTTATTATTAAATAATCAAGTTAATTAACAGGTTTTAATATTGTTAAAATTGTATTTCAATTAATAATTTAAATAATTTTATTAGTGTATAGATGAATAGTTAAAAGGGAAAATTGGTCTAAGGTCCCTATCCCACTTTTCATAATGGAAGAGATCCACAAAATTATTTTTTGATGTCTAAGATCCCTAAACATACAACAGAGAAATTTCAGTCCTTTATATTATCTTCATCATCTGACCCACTGTCATCCCCAACAACCCGACTCTCAGTCCTCCTCATCTTCCAATACTTCCCAAAGCTTTACCCAGTGGAGATTCCCGGCCTCGTTCTCCTTCTCTCCTTTCCTCTCATCGCAATCGCATACATCTTCGTCTCCGAAGCCCTCGTGATCCAGGCGCTCATCTTCATCTCCTACGCCGGACTGAAGATCCGCGACATCGAGCTACTTTGTCGGCTCCGGACATGTGTTTTGGTGTAGCGTTGATCCAGGTTCGCTTCCGACGGCGCTGGGTTATACTCTATGATATTTTTGATCGGTACTAGTTGCGTCAATAGTATTTCACTTAAGTTCACTTCTAAAGATTCTTCTAGGTGAAGTCGTCTTTGTTGAAGATTACAGTTTATATCTAACACAGTAATTATTTTGTTTGATGAACTTCCAATAAAGATGGATACCCGTATGGAGTCAAGTACTTGGTGTGGTTCTACTTTGTTCTAAGTTACACGTACAGTTCTGTGTATTTGTTCTCTTTTAGCATTTCCAATTATGTTTTGACAAAAAGCAATACATTGACTATTGAAATGTTGGTGTGCTGTTGTACTGGAGGATCTGAATCCTATATTCTTAAGTTCACAAAAATAGAAATTGAAGCCAAGTGTAGATTAATGAGAAAAGTGATCCTCTGGTTGAAACTAGAGAAATTCTTTGATTTTTTAACTGAATTTGCTCTGGGTTGAAACCAGAGAAATTCTCTGGTTTTTGAACTCAATCACCAAGTTCTGTTCATAAAAATACAACTTTACTGTAAATAGAGAGAATTTCTCTAGTTTGTCTGGTTTGAAGAGAATTTCTCTGGTTTTGAACCAGAGAAATTTGTGGGTTTGTGGATTTGTTAGACATGGGTTTAATTGTAGTTAACAGAGCCAGAGAAATTTGCGAAGTCAAAGAAATTTCCTGGATAGCCATACAAATTTCCTTTCCACAATTTTCTCTGGATTTATTTGATACTCAGAGAAATTTCAATTTTCTCTGGAGAGAATTTCTTTGGAACTGAAATTTCTCTGGATCCTGTTAAGGGACCTTAGACATTATGAAAATATTTGATGTCCTTTATACTATAAAATCATAATATCAGGGACCTTAAAAAAAATACCCCTAGTTAAAAACTTCATTTTTTTGATTACTTTTGTTAAATAAAAAATTCTAACATAAAAATATTTGTAATTTCCAAATCATAAGAAGTAATTTATATTTAAGCAAAGTTCTGAAGGTATATTTGTAATTTACCCCGAAAAAATAAAACCAAATATGATGAATAATTCCTAAATTGTTGAGGTATATTCAAAACAGCGTCGTTTTATCGTCTTCAGCATCCTATTTATCTCTCTCTCCCTCTCTCTTTCTCTCTCTCCGTATCGGTCATATTCTCTCTCATGCGAAATCACGGAGAACCACCGTTGCTCCACCGTCGTCGACCGCTGTGAACCACCCTGGACCACCACTCTCTCCCTCTCTGTCTTTGTCCTCAGAGCTCCTTCTCCTTCAGCCCTTTTTACACGTACGGTAGTTCTTAACACAGACATACATACATATATATATATATATATATATGTACATAGTTGCTCTGATTGAACCCTAATTGTTTTATTTTTTTAAAAAATTTGTAGAATTTCAGATTTTGGTGTCTTCGCTTTTGTTTTGCTGTTACAATTATTCATGACTTGTTCGCTCTCGGATCGCACTTTGAATTCTTTTGGGTTTCCCGGTGGACTGAGAATCTTGGTGTTGTAGTAAACTTCCATGGAGTATGGGCTTTCTGATAGCAGTGGTGAGTTCAGCATCAAAGACTGTATATCTCTTATAACACACACACACCTTGTTCTTCTTCTTCCTAGGGTTTTGCAATGCTTATATTTTTTTTAACTGAATTTGGTGTTTCCATTAGTCTGTTTGTATAGGTTTTGATTGGTGAAGGAATTAGGAAATTAGGGTTTTATCAAAGACTCTATCTTCACACACATTTTGTTCTTCTTCCTAGGGTTTTGTAATGCTTCTATTTTTTTAACAGAATTTTGTTTTTCCGTTAGTCTGCTTTGTATAGGTTTTGATTGGTGAAGGAATTATGAAATTAGGGTTTTAGGATTTGATTTGGTTATAACTAGTTCTAAGGGTTCAAACCCTTTTATTTGTTGTGACAATGTTCATCAATGATGTTACTCTAGGTTTGACATCAAGATCACTTTTCCCTTGTGTTCGATTTATTCAGTTGCATTGGTTTCATAAAACTTATCAAAGAATAAATAAATTGGTGACATAAACATACCTCACTGTAACTAGTCTATGCCACCTTTTGTGTCTAACAGTGCAAAACACAGGTCTTAAAGGTTTATAAATTGTGAGGGACAATGAATTGCCTCGTTTGGCAACATCACTTTTTAGCCTAAAAACTAAAAAGTCACTAAAAAAAAATTAAAAAGTCAACAACCTATATCAAAAAGTCAAAGATTTCCTTTTATCTCTACTTTTTGCATATCTTTTCGTAAAAAATCAAAAAATCATCCCAAACATACTATTTTTTTTTTACATAATATTTTAGTCAAAAAGTTACTAAAAAAGTCTGTTCCGAAACGATATAATTAGCAAAAAACAGATGAAGCTTAGGGCTGTGAACTAGTATCCTGACTGTTTTAGGTTATTTTTTAGGTTTAGAACGAGCCTATTGTCTAGGGAAGAAGAAAACACCATTGAAGAAGAGAACTAGCTTTACTCAAGTTCAGAAGAAAATGATTACACACACACCCTCCTTCCATGCAACATATACAAATCAATAAATAACACAACCAGCACAACAAATCTTCAACTCCGCTATGTACCGGATTAGCTGACGTCATCAATTGGTTAGGTACGTATTAACAACTGTAACTGTTTATTAAGCAACTAATCGAAACAGTGTGATACGACGTCGTTCTACTTATTAAGTAATACATGTTTCTAGCACTATTTCAATTACCTATCAGCACTGAATCCAGGCGTGTAACAAAGGATGGGTAGGCTTGTTAAAAAGTCAATGGTATGGGTAGAGGCTTAGCTAGCTGCTAGGTATAGTTACGTCTTTTAAGTCGAGTGCAGGTGATTAAGAGGAGTAAGGAGAAGACTAGGAAAGAACCTAGGCAATGGAACATTGGGGCTTACTCATCTGCACATAAGAAAAAAATGCATGCTATGTGCACAAATAATAGGCTTTATCATTTCATTGCTTAAAAAGAAGCTAATAACGTGGGGGATACTGACTTACTATCTTAGAGAACTTGGTAGTCGAGCAAAATTGCTGGCCAATTAATTCTCAGTGGCAAAGTATTTATCGAAAAGAAAGGATAATTCTTACTGGAAAATTAAAGACCAAGACGAGGGCTGTGTTTGACCCTCTAGATCTATTAAATCTGACTTAAACGAAGTGACCCAACAATGACAGTCCATTCCATAGCCCATAAAAATACTTACCAAACTGCCTTTGGCATAAAAATTTAAGAAAAATATAATCTCGACATCTAAACTTAACATAATTAATCCTAGAGGCAAACTAGATACTTGCCAAATTACCATGTTTGTCTTGGAATTTGGTTTTCCCCTTCTTGTGATTTTTTTTTCTTAGGATGTCCTTTGCATCCTAATGATTGATATAATGTTTAAGTTTCTCAGTGGAACCACTTGTTTCTTTGCCCCTTTTCAACTTTGCATTTCTGATTAACTCTAGATTCCAAATTTGTTCTAAGCTTCGCATTGATAAGAAAATTATTCATGCCAGGATCAATAAGGCAGCTGCCCCTGTGTAAAACCTAGCCTTGGTACTTAGAAAAGTAGAACATGATTTTGTTTACTACGGCCTGTGGAACTGAGAAAAGATAGATTGTATATTGTTAGAACCCTTGACATATCTCTTACAATGTTATTATTAGGTGAGTTTTTTTTTAAGTCTCTACCATGGCATATATCCTAACATGTGGTTATTAGGTGAGTTTTGAAATATAAAGTAATATATCCAAAACCAAACTAAGTTAAAGAGACAAAAAAGCCTTGAAATTGGACCAACTTTTGGAAACATCCCTTCTGTGAACTTATTTTTCTAGATCTTCTTGGGGACTGCATAATTTTTTGGGTATATTATGGTTTGTGCTTGTTTTGTTATGGGATGTTGATTCTTATTATTGTTGCAGAAAAGAGGTTAGATTCTACTTACATAAAGTAGCAAAATGTAGAACCTACCATTTCTTTTACCTTCTGAACAATAATAGTGTCTACTTCACCAAAATTTACTATTTTGAGAAGTCATCATTTTGTTTTGACTTTTTGTGAGTTTATAAGTTTCATTTGAATTTAAATTGCCATGATAAGTTGCACAGTAGCCATTAGACATTTTTGGAAGTTTTTTAACTTCTAAGAAATTCAAGTCCTATTTGGTTATCTATCATCTTTCTTTCCTTTTTTTTTTTCCTTCTTCTTTTGACAAGCATATTTGGTTATTGTCTTGATTGATCTTTCTGAAATCCTTTTGGTATGTTGTTAAGGGCCTAGCAATAAGGTGGTTTGTACCAAAAGAAAAATGAATTGAGAGTGAATTTTAAGAGTTTGACTAGTTGATTATTTTTATTTTTTTTTCTTTTGACTATTAATACTGAATTTTTCAATATTTTCTTGACTTCAAGCATTTATAGAAAATGCACAGGCACTAAACTACTTACTGTCTTGACATCTCAGCAAACTACTTTTGTGAAATGTACCAATTTGTTTCCTTTTGAAACCCTCATATCCTATTTAGCCTAAGGTACCAAGTAAACCATCATACTTCCACCTCTATAAATCAATCAGTTATTATAACCTTTGGTCCACTTGTAATGTAGAGAACATTATTTGAAGGTTGCTACAAGATCATGGGATTTTCCAATGAAGATTTCAAATTTTCAACTATATTGACTCCCAACAGAAAAGGATTAGTTTCTTGGGTTTTGCTATGGGCTTGGATATTGTGAATTTGCAAGTGTCTTGTTTGTGCTCTTCCTCAATCTTAGGTTTTAACATTTTTTTGCTCTAGAAGCCCTTAATTATGTAGCTTTAGTTTAAATCCTTCTATTTGACAGGGTGATGCTCAATTTTGGTGGCTACTATTTCAAAACTCACAAAGTTTGGTAATGCAATAATTTAAAAAATGGTTACTGCTTGATTAGACCAAACCAAACCAAACTGAACTTTGTGTCCTAGTCAAGTGGATCGGCTTCATGAATCTTTTTTGCCATTATGCTCTACTGCTTGCCGTTAAGAGAAGACTCCATTTTTGTTTGAGTCCCACTGAAAGAGAAAATGTGCCCATTGTAAGGTCCATTAGTTAATATGAGACCTAAGTTCTATGTCTATCAACTCTATTCGTTTATGTTTTTTTTCTAAAAAAAGTAGGATAATTTGAGTTAATGAAATGGTTTTGTGGCAATTTTACAGCGGGATTATGTCATGTAATCATGTTACTGTAGCCGGTATTGTCCATGCAACTGTAGCCAATAGTGAATTGACTTGAATTTTAAAAACTTTGTTTAAGAAATTGTGTTTCTGTTTGGTATTGGGTGGATCCTAGAAATCATTTTGGAAAACTTCGACTTATATCTTCCTTGTGTGGAAAAGTAAATTAACTTTGTTGTCAACATTTCCAAACTTGTGTAGTTGGTTGGAAAGGCATTCTATTTATGTTCTTGGAATGTCATTTTACTGGAGAAAGGTTAAATAAAGCAGCTCTATTCAGCAATTTTGCATGTTAGCACAAGTCCAATTCTTTTCTAGACCATTTTCTGCGTGAACAAAAGGAGCCGAAAGGTCCTCATTCTTGTACTCTTTGTCTCCTTTCTTCTCAGATAACACCCATTCAAATGATGGTTCTTTGTGTCATCCTCCTCTCTTTCTCTATATACCTGTGTCAAACTGTTTATCTTTATGTCTTCTTCCCTTCTATCCATTTTTTGAGAATAGATACTCTCATTTAGGATATATGCCATAATCTGTAAGTTATTGCACTAAGCATGTGAAAGCTTAGTTCAGAATGGTAAATGACATCCATGCTTTCATTTTATCTTTTTAAAATTTCTCTTTCATTTGTAATTTGAATTTCCCGTCATTTACCCTATGTAAGTGACTTGTTCTGATAAGTTTACCATGTAATAGTAGACTGCATAGTGAAAGTGACCAATGGTATGTTGCTCTGGGAATTGCTTTAACCTTGTTGAGTTCTTTTTTATCTAAGCTTTTTTTATTTTGAAGGTATAATAAGTATATTTGTTTTGATCTGATAACTATAAGGTTTGTCATGCTTAAATTTTGCATATAACCATGTATGGTACTAGCGTATGCCCGTGCCTGAAGGCACGGTGTTAATAATGTTAGGATTAGAATATAATTATAATCTCAACACTATTTAATAAATTATCAATTATCAATTGCCAATTTAATATAATTGTAATCCCAACCCTGTTGTATTAGAAACAGACCCACGAATGCAAATAATATTAAGGTCACGCTCATCGCGGACAACAACATTAACATTTCTTTTTTTGAAGAAATTGAATCTATATACAAAAACTTTATATACATAAATAAGAAAAAAATCATTTCTTTCTTGATATTACTGTTCGGTGCAAGTCTCTATCCACCTAAAAAGTATGAGGAACAAAACATTTATAAGAAGAACATTAGATATGATAAGTTTAAAATAAATAAATAAATAAGCCTTACATTATAAGAGAGGTACTTGAAGCTTTCCCTAGTCTGTAAGTTTACAATCTACTTTTCCAATGGATTTTCACCACCATACATGCACCAAAAGTACTATAATTTCCATCTGTGTAGCACAACAAATCCTATATTTCTCATATTCAAATGCAGACTTGCTGTAGATTTCCTCACTATCAAGTGAACATCTTCATTTGCTCTATGGCCAAATCTGCATGTCAAGTTTATGTTTAAAAGATGACTATCCAATCTTCAATCATTAATTAAGAAAAATAAATAAATGAAGATTGAGCACATTGATACATTTCTAGTATAGCCATCATCAAAGTATCCAATTCAAATTAAAACCAAAATCAAAATTCGTTATAATCATAAGTATTTTGAAGTTCACCATTTAGAAAGTCCAAACATAAATTTATACCACAAAACAAAAACAAAAACAAAAAAACAAAACAAATTTATACTATCTATCAAGTAAATCAACAACCAACATAAACAACAACCAACAAAACCAACTTTAATCTTCAGTAACTCTCCCAAAACTATATGTTAATATTTTAAATAACAAATTTTAATTGATCTCTAAGTGAGTTACTTGAAGCTTTCCCTGGTTTTAAGTTTACATTCTCCTTTTCTAATGGGTTTTCACCACCATATATGCACCATAAATACTATAATTTACATCTAGTGTAGCATAACAAATCCCATATTTCTCATATTCAAATGCGGACCTGCTATAGATTTCCTCACTGTCAAGTGAACATCTTCGTTTGCATTATGGCTAGGTCTGCGTGTCAAGTTTATGTTTCAAATATCACTATTTAATCTTCAATCATTAATTCAAAAAAATAAATAAATGAAGATAGAGCACATTGATACATTTCTAGTATAGCCATCAAAATATCCAATTCAAAAAATTAAATTTATTCAAGGTTGAAGAATATATACCACTGTCAAAAGAAGCAAATAATACACTATCAACAATCCCTTGGTGTAATAACCTGCATGTTACCAAGCTGTGGGAGATGAATTGGGCCTCTATATGAAGTTTGTCCCAGTGAATGAAGTGTAGGTAATACTCTAGGAGCTATAGAAGGCAAGGAATTGTAAGTGAACCGGTAAAAAATTGTGACAGGGTGCTTTTGTGGGAGAAAATTGAAAGGATGTAGCATTGCCGAAATGTTTAAGTTTGGCATCAGAATTTAATTACAAAATTAGCATGCAAAATAATATAGTAGATACTTAAAAAATCAAAAGAAAGAGAAAGGGTATGCAGTCACTGTCCCAAATTCGCATGTGCTTCCTTCCATATAGGTTCAAACAGACACATACAATATACAACTCAAAATGTTCACTGTGATCTGATTCCCAATCCAGAGTTGTAGCATACATTGCGTTGAGTCTGTATTGGATGTTTAAAACTTATTTAAAAAAATAGTAATAATACTGTACAAAAGTATGAGTTAGTGATTTGTTTGATAATATAAATATTTTTCGTATTTATAATTAGTTACTTATCGATTGAAAAATAAAAAAATAAAAAAAGTATGAATAGAGCTGTGGTCTATTTCAAAGTATTGAAGAATTTTACTTGAAGCTTTCCTTGAACACATTCTGTTTGAGCATGATGTGGGTTTTGCACCAACAGCGACGGTGGTGATGATGAGCAGCGGTGGTGGTGTTGCAACCATATAGACAAACCAGACATAGCCATAAACTGATCTACTGGAATGCAATAAACTGATCTACGAAATTAGAAATCAAGAAATTTATTGAAATTAATTAAAAGAAGTAATAAACTGATCTACGAAAGGAAAGCGAAGACTCACTGTCATTAGGGTAAAAACAAACACAGAGAGAGAAGGGGAGAGGCAGAAATCGAACCTTGCGAGTGCGAATTCGAAGGGACGGTGGTTGTCGATGCTGAAATTTTTATTCATACGAAACAGATTGATTGAAAAAAAACCTAACTTGGATCATCATCCGTATATCATCACCAACCTGAAAAAGTGAAACAAAGAGAAAAAAGATTCATCAAATACCAGTTTCAGATACATAAAAATAAAAAGTAAAAAATGAAAAGGTGTTATTTTTTAATGGATAAAGGGAAAGGAGATGTAATGAATCTTTGAACCCAATTTCCCATCTCTCTAAACACTCACTCCCACACCCCTAAGAAAAACCACCATTCCCCAAGTTTGGCTGAGCCTGATTCTCCTGCTGCTGCTGATAGTTCAGAGGCCCCCTGAGGAGCATAATGTGTGGCTCTAGTCAATGGATTGTGTAGTGGACCCATCATCGGCTCTGCTGCACCCAAATTGCACGCCACTTGTTCTGATACACAAAATCAAATATATGATACCATCAAATTGTTTAATATTGAAATTTGTATAAACAGTGCTCTAAATATTATCAAAAGTGTTTCGAAATTAGTGAAAAGTGTTTTGTTTTCTTTATTTTTTGTCATTTTCTCATAAACTGATCTACTGGAATGTGAAATTTAAAAAATGTGAAATTTAAATAAAACCAAAATCAAGTAATTTGATTTATTTATCTCATGTACCTAATGACAACACATCCAAAATCAAATTTCTATTCCGCTCCATTTTCTTTAAACCCTAATTACTTGCTTCAGAGAGAAGGCGATTCTTGGGAAGAAGTTTGGGCACTTTAGGAGGTAGAACCACATGTCTGCAAAATCAACAAATCAATAACCAAAGAAGCGAATGTGTGTTCAGAGAGAAACCAAAGAAAAATGTGAAACCCATTTCCACTCCATTTCCAAATCTTTTGTTTTTTTTTTTTCCCATCAATCCGATGTGGCAACGCCGACTCCGGGCGAGAACTACTGTGGCATGGGCTATGTGATCGGAACGCTGCTCGCCGATGATTCTCGGCGGTCCTCCGGAGATTCTCCACCCTGCAACCCTCTCTCGCTCTCTTTGCCATTTTCGAGCCATTGAACAAAGAGTTCCAGTGGTGTCAAGTATGTTCACCACCACCCATCATCATCGCAAACCTAGATCTGGGCGACTCATTGGCGTCTCGACCTCCTTCCGAATCTCTACAAGATCAGTTGACACAAAAAACGACGCCTTGAAGATCATTGTTTCGAAAGCCCTAGATCGAATTCAACAATGCTATCTGATCTTAGATCGTTGATGAAGCACAGTAGAGAGAGAGAGAGAGAGAGAGGGAGTTGAGGATAACATTTGGGTAGAGGCAGGCGTGTTTGGTAGACGTGGGAGAGAGAGAGAGAGAGCAGAGTGTGTTTGGGCGGGAAAAAAATTACTCTCAACCGTTAGATATTGATTAGGATTGATCTAAACCATTCAAATGAAATGTATCTCTGATACATTTTATATATTTTCAAAAACCGTTCTGTCTTATTATATAGATTGTATGTAGCATTCCTGTTTTCCTTGTCTTTGAAAAAGTTTGATTTCTCTCAGCAAGAATGTTAGTTACGTTGCATGTTAGATGGTTCAGCAAGTATCTCTGAGACTTTGCGGAAGGCCAACAGTCAAACATTTTCACCACAGTTCTGCAATATTTAAATTGTTTCAAACATATATATTTTGTTTTGCTTCTTGTGAGGTAGAGAAACAGCGATTGGCTCAGTGAATTAACCTGCATAAGTCTCTCTCTCTCTCTCTGTCTCTCTCTCTCACACACACACACACACACACACACACACACAGACGCAGAAACATAAGTACTGCTGCTCAAATAAGTTGAACCTTGCACTATTTAATTACCAGATCATTTTTTACACAACCATGCAGCTGGCAGAATGAATTTTTCCCCCATGTAGAATTCAAATTTTTGTTTAGGTGCTACATCTGGAAAATTTGTTTGTGTAGTGATTCTTCTCTATATAACTGCAGGTACGGATGATGACCTTACTCCTTCACATCAAAATAGATTTCCAAGGGGGGGCCGAGCTTTGGGGAATGTAAGATCTGCAGCTGTTGGTACTGCTCAATTCCCTCGGATGCAGAGTGATATGGAGGCCCAGATCCACTACATAGAACAAGAAGCATATAGTTCAGTACTTCGGGCCTTTAAAGCTCAATCTGATGCCATTACTTGGGTATATATTACAATTCGTTTGTGTATTCATTTTATGTAATGTTAAATTGATTTTAGAGTCCCTCATTTTGTGTATTTTCTAGGAGAAAGAAAGTTTAATTACTGAACTTAGAAAAGAACTGAGAGTATCAGATGAAGAACACAGAGAGCTCCTATCCAAGGTTAATACTGATGACATCATCAGGAGAATAAGGTCTGATAATATAATGACATTGTAACACTGTTCATAACACTGAGATTTGTTCATTAGGTATATTCGGTCAATTACTCATTTTCATGGGTTTCTGTTCAATATTGTCATCAGGGAGTGGAGGGAGTCAGGTGGGCTCCAAACTGGCATGCTCAGCAATAGCCAGCCTGTTCATGATCCCATACCTAGTTCTACTGTTTCAGCATCACGCAAGAAACAGAAGACATCACAGTCAGTAGCTTCATTATCCCTAGGTGTACCATCCCCAGTGTTGCATACATCCTTGCAACCATCATCATCAGCCTTGAAACGAGGTCCAGCCTCAGGAGCCAGGGGCAAGAAGCCAAAATCAGTAAGTTGAATAATTTGTGTTTGCGATTGACTTTTTTAGTGGCCCCCCCCCCAGGGGCGCTTTTAGGCTGCATTTGATTAGAAAGAAAATTTGGTAGAAAGTGAAAGTAAAAGAAAATGAAGTGAAAGAAAAGAAAATATGTTTTCTTGCAAACATTTGATTAAGATGAAAATTTTGTAAGAAAAATAATAGAAAAACTTAAAAGTTTAGTTATAGATAACTCACACATTCAATTTTTCTTGTGTTTTTTGCAAGAAATAAAAATTAGTTATAATGCTAATATGAGTTGTACAAGAAAATTAGTTTTCTTATATTTTCCACCACTTTCAAACTTAAACAAACTCATTGAAGTTAAATTTTTTCTCTTTCACTTTCTACCTATTTCATTCTAAACAAACTGAGCCTTAGTGAACTTTCTTTAAAAAATTTCAAAAAGATTTGCACTTTTAAGGTTCTACTCGATTAGTCGGACTAGAAAAGTAAAAAAATAAAAATTGGAAAGAAGTTCACCAAAGACAAAACAGAAGCCAATTTTTGTTTTTTGTTTTTTGTTTTTTGTTTTTTTTTGTGCGCAAACTTATATTAAAAAAAAAAAATTAGATCATTTTACACTAGATGGACCTGATATGTAAAAATTTCGACTCAAATTTGAAAGACAAAGGACAAAAAAGACTGGAAAAAAAATGTGGTTTTGTTTTTGCTGATTCAATACTCACCCCCAAGTAAAGGTTTCTTTACATAGATGATAAATTGTTTAAAGGAGTTGAACATTACCTGGTGCATCCTCAATAAAGTCTATGCAGTTCCCTTCTATAGGTTTTACTGGAAGGGGCCTAGTCCCAAACCGGGGCTCTTCAGGCACCTTTGCAGTCAATGAACGTACTGAAGCAGCAAACTTTGATCCATTAGTTGGAAGGAAAGTTTGGACAAGGTGGCCTGAAGACAATAACTTCTATGAGGCGGTTATAACTGACTACAATCCTGTTGAGGTATGTCTGGTTGTTTGTTTGTTGAAAGATTTTTCTGTATTTGATGGGCATGTAATTTAACTTGCTTTTTTCAAAATTGCCAGGGCCGGCATGCTTTGGTTTACGATATTAGTACAGCAGATGAAACATGGGAATGGGTCAATCTCAAAGAGGTAAAAGATGGCCCTTTCTCTGAATTTACTTGCATGGCCTACATTCCTCCTGGTTAATCTTTTCTTGCATGATCATAAACATCCAAGAAATTCTTATTACAATATATTAATGCTTGAAAATTGAGGAACAAAAACGACTGTATCTACTCTAGTATCTATGCATCTTGTTCTTGTGCGTTTGTGTGGATGCTAGCTTCATGTTTGTTATCTGGCTCTCTCTTTGCTGAATTGTTAATTGGTTACTTTATTGACATCATATTTCATATTTTCATTGTTACCACCAAGTGATAATCTGGTTGAACAACAGAATATAGTAGTGTGAATTGTAGCTTACATATTCTTCATGTAGAAAATGCTACATTGTGAAGCTTCTTTATGATGTCAAATTCTAATGGTCGTAGAAAACAAATTGCATCTAGATACCTAGAGTTCTATAGGTTGGTGAAGTAAGTTTGAAATTTTCAGTTTTCCACGTTTACAAATTTAAATATTGCAAACAATGGCTAAATAAATCTACCTAACAATTGTTATGATGAAGTCCAGAATCCTCTTGATTTGTAATAACTAGCCTTCGTGAGTTACGTATCATGGCCTTATCAGAAAAAGGGCATAGGCTGCATGTCATTCAAGCAATGTATGTTTTAGGTTCTGAAGATATGTCGCATGGTGTGGCTTTTATGTTTTGAAGATACTCTCATTCCAACCACAACCAGTTGCATACAAGAATATCGAGATGGAGATTGAAACTAACCTTGTCAGTTCCATCCTTTCTCTGAATGTGTTATAGTGTCTTCATTGTTTCTATCCCTTCTTGGAATGTGTGTTACAAGCCATGCTACTACAATGGATTCCACACGGATGCTAAGCATTTGTTTGATTTATTGAAAGGGTGGCTACTTAAGCCATTTTTTTAATTCTGGAAATTTGTAGCTCCTTTGAAGTGGTTTTGTCACGGGTTAGGCCATTCCTGAAGATTTCTCTCTCATTTAAGGGTTTGAAATTGTTTAGGAGTTATTGATTTCATGGTTTATAACTGTGAAGCACGGGCGTTTAATTTTAGTACGGTGTCCAACATATCTTAGACACGCACACTCCACGGACATGCCATGTAGTGTGCTTAATTTTTTTAATTATTGTTATTTTTGGTTGTCATGTTGGGGACACTACAAGACACTTATTCTTTTCAGACACCTTGTGCATGTTTGTAATATTACAAGTTTTTAATTGGGGTCAAATTGTAATATTAAAAAATTCTAACCAATTAAAACTGGGAACTTCATAAATTTATGTACATCTGTTTGAACAAAAACCTAGCTGCAAATAGAGAAGAAGAAAGAAGTTGTCGCCACAGAAGCCCCTGTTGAGAAGAATAACCTCTTTATGCCTCAGTGATTGATGTCTGTAGTTGACGTTGCATTGGATTTTGCTTGGTTTGATATAAGACTGTACTATGGTAGTAATTTAATTACTTTGTTAGCCCTGTTTAGTAGAGCTGTGGGAAAGTGCTTATAACTTATGCCTTAACAGTTTCATAAGCTGATTTCTGACTTATAAATTAATCATCTCCTGCCCCACTCAAAGAATAAGCTGATTTCTGACTTACAAAAAGTTATAAGCTGCGTTGTTAAGTTAAACCAAACACATCAAAATAGCTTAAATTAAGCTGAAAGCTGAAATAAATAACTTTTAAGCTGCACCAAACAGGCACATTATAGGTAACATTTTAATAAGTTGTATGTTGCATTTTTAACTGTATCTTGATTTTTCAAAAATTGTTGTCCAATGTCTTGTCAAGTCTGCTTCTTAGGTTATAGCATGAACTTTTGCACAAACAAGAGCTGTATGATTTTTTCACTCTATTGTAGTGATGAGTCATTTTCTAAATGCTGGCCTTTTGCTTGTGACTTGATTTTATTGTCTATGGAACATTACGTACACATTAGATATCACCTGAGGACATTCGGTGGGAAGGCGATGGTCCTGGAGTCTCTAGTAGAGGCGGCCCCAGTGGACCAGGCCGTGGGTTTAAGAAGTCTATGGCACGTGGTGGTGCTGTTGCTGGTGCCGGAAGAGGCAGAGGAATAGCAAAGGGTCAGTCCAAGAAAGTTTTTCCTCCATCACAAAATGGCATTGGGAAGAAGGGTGATATCGAAATACTTCATACTGATACTCTAGTTAAGGAGGTATGACTGCCACTTGAAGATTTTGCATTTCACTGCAAACATAATTATATATATACATATTATTTTGCGCTCCCCGCTGATGTGAATATCTATAGGTGGAGAAAGTTATCAGAGCAAGCCATCCGGATCGTTTGGAGGTTGAGAAAGCAAAGAAAGTGCTTAAAGTAAGAATATCCTAGTACCAGTAATAAAGTTTTTTATTTAATTTTTAATTTGTTTGCAATTTTGAGAGTCCTTTTGAATGCAGGAGCATGAACAAGCCCTGGTTGAAGCAATTGCGAGGCTTGAAGATGCTTCTGATGGTGAAAGTGGTAATAACTGATTGCATATAGACATATAACCATGCTCTATGATTACTTTTTAAAAAAACAAAACAAAGACGATAGTGTTTTGTTGCATCTTGCATCTCAAGTTTATGATGGATATTTAGAATGGAACTTGTTTATGGCCTTGTAAAATTTTATAAAAAAATAAAAATTGAATTTCTTTTTTAAATTTGAGACAAGTGGTTGTCATTTTAATGTTTCAAATAGTGAAGCAAAACATTCTGGGTATGGTCATTGCACTAAGTCATTGTACTAAGAAACTCTGAACTTTGTGTTCAACCTTTTTGTAGTGAATACCGTGATATAATAAATGTGGTGCTTTTTCGTATATTTTTTCTGTTTCTAGAACACAAGAAAAAAAGGGTGTTTTTAGCTTTATTAGTCATGAGTACCTACGTTTTTCTTTTTTGTATCCACTTTGAAGCAGATGGAGATCATCAGTTGCAAGGCCAATCAATGGACCAAGAGCGATGGAGAAAACAACAATACGATGATCATACTGGAGAAGGTAATAGGGTAGTTGAAGGTTCAGATGCCAACAAGATGGCTACAGATGGAAGAGTTGGTTCTGATGATCAGCAAGACAACGGCGATGACATTTGATTATTGTAGATAGGTTTTAGTGTTGGGCACACTAACCTTGTACTTTGTTTATGGAAAGAATGTTTGTGTAAAATTGTTTAATTATGAATAATTTCTGAATATTATATAAAAATTGTTTCTAAATGATTTGTAAAGTATGCAAGCTTGCCTCTCTCTCTCTCTCTCTCTCTCTCTCACACACACACACACACAACTTTGCTCAACCTCGTCAACTGCACAGACCTGAAATTGCACCAAAGAAAGATGGTGAAGATAGTAAGTTCCTGTAAGTTGAAATGCATGTAATATTCGATATATTTGTGGCTCATGCGACTATAACTTCAAACACTAGACAAAAAAACAAATGGCATTTTTGGGGTTAGTATGGATAAAAATAAGGTGTCATCGATTCAACAGCAAATAATATCAGAATAACATGTAGGTTATGTTTGTTTGGGTGGACATGAGCTTGGGATTGGACTAATAGTCCAATAAAATTATTAATCCGATGTTTGGTTAAACAATTAAAGTAGGGACTAATTATTTTAAACTTGACTATAGTTAAGATAGGATATATAATCCAACGGATTTGTAGGCCTAGGACTATTAGTCATGGGAATGCTAATCCAGTCCGCCCAAACAAACATGACCGTACTATTGTCAAAGTGATTCTAGGTCCCATTTTAATTTGGTTATGCTAATAGAGAATTATTGCCAAAGTGATTCTATACCCCAATTTAATGTGATTATGATCTAACAATTCATGAGATAGGAAACCCCCTATTAAGCAAAGCAATTCAAACCCAATAACAATCATAAAAAAAATGTCTTATAGTAGCACAAGGCTCCTGCTTGCAATAGTATCGGGGAGAGGCAATAGGTAGGCGGAGTCTTCCCCTCATGACCTGAATGCCCACATAAGAAGAATTTATCTCAGGAATTCTGGGAAAATAGTGGAACTGCAATTACAAAAACAATGGACAAAAAACACGGAAATGTACCATATTTAAAAAAATTAAGGCTACCTACACCATGTAGAAGAGAAGAAAACAACATTCAGCATATAAGAAACAAGAAACACTGAGATTAGCACATCCATGTAGAGAAGAAAAAAAAAAACAGTATTTGGTACCATATACGGGATATGAAATTGGACTTTAACACTCACCATAATTTGTTCTTATTAGTATTACTGATTACAGAACCATAAAAGCAAATCCTAATTTGTCCGCATGCCATGAATATAATGATTCTGCTGGAGCCAACTTGCTCCATGTTCGATTCGGGCTTGCCATTCTATACATGTTCAGACATCTGGGAATGCACCCACTCTATCGTGATAGATTTTTACATAAACTTTTTGCTGTTGTGACAACACAAAATATTTGCATGTATCTAGTGAGTAGTCTGCTGAAACAATAGTGGGCCATGACCAGCAGAGACGAGGGTAAGATTATAGTCTCTTTACTATATGCAATGGCTTACGACTTACATCAAGATATATGAAACCTTACCACCAAACTCGTTCCTACTTTCACTATTTCCATATACTTGCAGATCATAGATGCAAAAAGACATTTGCTACAATAGAATGTTCTGTGCTGAAATATCCGAACCTCATTTAATGTTTTGAAAATATGCCAATACGATGTACAAGGAGATAAAATCCACAACTAAATTATCCATATTTGTAGAAAATATCTGATTCTTAATAGGATATATGAAACCTTTGTCCTAACCTTCAACCTTCTAAGTTTTTCTAAAGACAAATGTATTTCAATTATCGGTGAAATCTAGTATAAATCTGAAAGAGAACCCCCAAAACTTCAGCGTAAGAGCAAATTTGCTTGAGGAGTGTATGAGTATTATATACTAGATTTCTTTACCTCCATATAATTATCTTAATTTGAACTAGATCATTTGATAGCGCAATTAAACGATAACTTCAATGTCTCCACTCTGATATGAAACTAATTTGTGGCAATTTTTCATTCCGGAGAGTAAATTCTGAAATGGTTCCAAAAACTCCTATTCTTATACAACCAAATGATCAAAATTCAATGTCAGGTGTGGTATTTTGGTTAGCTTAGACTTGGAAACATTTTGGAAACACAAGGCAAACTTTAAAATTCTTTGGGGAGGTGTTAGTGAAGAATTCAATTATGATTTAGTGGATCAGAACACTTCCTGTAATGAGGGTGGGATGGGCATTAGAAGGTTGGAAGCTTTTATAGAACTCTTTTGAGAAAGTGTTTGGAAAGTTGCTTGTGATAGCGAGAAATATTGGAGGAAAGTGGTGGCTGCTAAATATGTAGTGGAGAGGGGCATCCAATGAAGATTTCTTCATCTTGTGGGAAGGTTTTCCTGACAGAGACAGGAAAGGTTGGGAAGACTTTGGTCATTCAATTTTGGCAGCACAGATGGAGTGGGAATGTATCAGTGGAACTCTATTTTTCAGCAGAAAAATGCATGAGCTTTTGAGATTTCAGTTTACGGGTCATAGCCTCCAAAAAATTACCCCCGTCTGCCAATATTTCCACGAGTATCATCAAGTCCGAAGAAAAGAGGCAAACTACTCTTTTGTAACATATCAATATCTGATGTAGATTTGATGGAAGTTTTATACAAGATACATATGAAAGCACAACGAAATATGAGAACAACATTAGTTTCAATTTTAGAAATGTAGTCAATCATATTGGCGCCACATATTAAACTTGGAGTCCTAAACTTTATCCTAATAGGGTTCCGGTTGAATTTGAACATCAAATCTGATATGATTATTCGAACAATGGACTAGAGCAACTGACCAAGTAAAATGGGAAATTTCAACATAGTCACCATAAACAGGTTCACTATCCTTCATAATTATTGACCCCAACTACTAATGATGATTGAAACTCCAAAGGAAAGAAGGGTACTCGAATCAGCTAGAAACAAATAGTTCAAAAAATACCCTTTCCTCCAAATTTCTAATTTCAGCACAAGATAGAATCATTATGCAACTTATGTGAAAATCCCTCCCACATGCAATTATGTTTCTCTGTCATTCCAAATTTATCGGGTTTTCCCCCAAGGGGCACACACAATTAATCTTCCTGCATACAGTTCCATAATTCTATACGCACATACCCTTTTTCATATATCTAAATAATCACTCATCAAACCCATTAAACATATAATCTAATTCATTATACTTGTTTCTCAACGAAAACATTCCACGAATCTTCAACAACTGGGGAAGCAAAAAATAACCAAAAAAATCAGGGAAGCAATCTGAACTTCATCAATCAAACAGTTTGGTTGGTATATTGATTCAAAACAACACATGCCATGAACAGCCCATATTGAAGAATCTTGCACCATAATTCAATCAAACTAAGCAATCTATCTTTAAAAATATTAAAATAAATAAATAAAATACCTTTTTGACCCGTGAAAAATTGGGAGTAAAAATCCATACCTGTTGAAGAACCCACAGAAAAAAGATTCTCACAGACCCATTTACAGACAGTAATCAAAACACATCTTTGATTTTAACGGAACCCAGTAAGAGAACCCACTAGAGAAGAGAAACCCAGAAAGCAATCCCTCTCAGGAGACCTTGACAATCACCCAAGACTGAGTCCATCCATCACTGGTTGAATTCAGAGAGAGAGAGAGAGAGAGAGAGAGCACAGAAATCTGAAATGATTGGGTCATGAAAGTATGCTGGGAAGACAGAGTGAGTGGGGGACCTGTGGTTTTCTGAGAACATGGTAATGGTATTTTGGTGTCAAATGATTATGTGTGTTGTGTGTGGAGCACAATAATCTCAGCCTTCGTTCAGAACGTAGGTTTGTTTTTTGGTTTTTTAATTTTTAGTTATTTTAGCACTAATCAAAAAATTTAGTTAGGGATGGATTTTTTGAATTTCTTAATTTTTATTATGAAAAAAATAAAATAATTATAATTTAAATATAACATTTTATATTATTGATTCTTTAATTTATTTTTTCTAAACTAAAATAATCAAATAACCTCGACAAACGTAACCTCATTTCATCATTTGATCCGGACTGTCAATGAGAGTAAAATTCTATTTCCTGATAGTTAAAGTTTTCTTTGGCTTCTTTTGGGAAGAAGGATTAGGTTGGATTTTAAGCTATTTTAACTATAAAAAAATAAAATAAGTTATTTAGTTTAATAAGATAAAATATTACATTTAATCCATAATTATTACATTATTTCTTTTATAAAAAGTTTAAAAACTTAAAAAAAAAAATGGTAATAACTATCTAGGGAGCAATTAACACAGTAAACTTTAATATGAATGAAGCTGCACAGCAAGCTTCGATAAAGCCGTTATGTTTTTATACATATTATTGCTTATCAGGGGATAATTTCAATGCTTTTTTGTGAAGTAAATTGTTAAATTGATTATTGGGGGAAGATTTCAATGCTTGATTTTGGTTATTAATTTGATAGAACCTTTTGTAGGTCTCATGAGGAAATGTCTCTGAAGATGATTATAACAGCTTTTGGCATTTGAGTTCTACTTGGCTTTTGAAAAATCTTGCATTGATTAGTTTTGAGCATAACTAAAAATAATACATAAGTTTATTAGTAGCATAATCATTAGACAAATTTTAGTGACTATTTGAAATTTTTTCCTCAATTTTTTATTTTTTTTAAAATATTACTGCAATTAGTTGGAGAAGTGCCCAAAATTAATAACAAGAAAGATGTCAATGCAAAGATGCATAGCTGCTGAACATGTAACAATATGACTTACCCAGTGCTTATGATCATACTCATGACAGATAGGAAGAATTTAGCAGTTAGAAACAAGTGCACTCACAATTTAGTGGTGAATTGTCACTAAATCAGGAATTACCTTTGATATGTGCTTGATTTAGCACTTCCTGATGTAATTTGACATAACTAAAAGCCTCATTTTCTTGATATATTATAAAATAAAACCAACAGCCTCCATTGAAAAGTGCAATACAAATTCAACTAAAAAAACCCACATTCATGAGATAGCCAAGAGGTATATCATACAAATGATTGTGATCACGATATTTCTTCTGGAAACGTACATTGCATAAAGTTCTTATACTAAATAAAGCATAAAATTGGTATTTACAAAAAAAAAAATTAACATTTGATGTCATTAGAAATTACCAGTTGACTTAACAGTTAATTAATGGATGGGACAATTTGTAATGTGACTTTAAATCTTAGGAAGGAGTGTAATTTTTAGAACATGAAAAAAGAATTTATAACAAGTGTAAACCTCAGGAATATCAATGTAATTTATCATATTTTAAATGAATGATTATTTGATAAGAAAATTTAAGGAATCATATTTTTATTTTATTTCTTTTTATTTTAATAACCAAATAGAACCAAATGGTTGAGGGTAGGACAGTTGAGTATTGGATAGGGAATTCTTCCATGTGCTTTGATTTTGATTGCTTTGATATTTAATGAATAATTTGAAATATCACAAAAAAAAAAAGTGCCAGGTGCTAATGCGTCGGAATCTAATTATTATTATTTATTTAAATAAATCATCTCTCAGTTAAACATGTTGGGCTTAGCTATAGAAATTTTGGCCCACCTGGGTGGGTTTTCGTGATTGAATGAAAATTTAGCAGCATGACTTAGCCTCCGTGTGAGAAGGAAGTTGGTTTTTTGGTTTTTTAGTTTTTTTAGCTATTTTAGTCTGGACTAAAAAATTTGATTTGGGAAGGACTTTTTGAATTTTTGACTTTTTTGAATTTTTTTATGAGAGAAAAGTGCAATAATTATGGGTTAGATGTGATATTTTGTTTGTTATGGCTAAAATAGTCTATTTTGTCTTTTGTGGCTAAAATAGTCCGAAACTAACTTGCCAAACAGACCCTTATTGTCTGATCATGACTTAATATATTAATTAAAAATTCTTAATATTTTGTTTATATAATTTTAAATAGAATTAATTGCTTAAAAGTCTTATTTATAAATGTTTTAATAATTTAGGTCCTACCTAAGATTTTTTAAATCAATAAATCCTATTTAGTAAAACTAAAGATATTATTAATTTTTTCTCAATTTTTAAAAGTAAGAATATTATCAATTTTGAATAGTAATCTTCAAGATAATTTTTTCACTAATTGATAAAAAAAACAGAGTATGAGATTAAATATTTTTACCCTTCTACTTATTGGTTTGATTCATTTATCTAATAAAATTTAGAATATTATCAATTTTTTCTAATTTTAAAACTAGAAACATTTTAGTTTTTTTTTTTTAATTTCAGTTTGAACATCAATTTTCTATCATCATGCTCCTTTATGGACACAAAATTTTTCGTTTTGCACAAAAAAATTCAGTTTTTTCAATTTTTTCAAAAAAAAAAAAATAGTTTTTTTTTTTGCACATAAATTTTTTTAGTTTTTACAATTTGAAAGTTGATATTTTAAAGTAATACTATTTTCATCTACTTATATTCTATTTAGTCCACATTATTTTCTTATGTTTCAATAAGTCCTATGGGAGACATAATTACCAAAATACCCATAATGTGAATGTTCACATCGTTAATGTGAATGTTCATATCATCAATGCGTAGAGGCCCGGGCCAGCCCATATCGAGCCTCGTGGGTGTCCGAAAAAATCCGGGCCGCCCCGAGCGGAATTAGGCCCAAGCCCTAGCCCTGGCACAAGGGTATTCGGGCTTTAGATGGGCTGATGGATCGAGCCTCGGGTCAGGCTGGTGGACATGGGCCTAGCCTCGAGCTTAGGTCGGGCTTAGGCGGGCCTGGTCATTTTCTTTTAATTCTTTTTAATTTTTTCTACCAAAATTTTATTATTTTCCACAAAAAAAAACATTGCGCCTCGGGGGGCTGGGCTTCAGACCGAGCCTTGAAATGGACCTTATGCGGGTTGATGGGCCGAGCTAGGCTTCAAATTGATGGCCTAGGCCCTAGCCTAGGGTCTCGGACATGCTCGGGCCCCGACCCAAACGAGCCTGCCCCAAGCTGTGGACGGGCTTCGAGCAGCCCACGGGCCGCGGGCCAATTCTACATTCCTATCAATGTGCATGTTAACATGTCAATGTGAATATTCACATTGTCAACGGGCCGGGTCGGGCCTACCTCGGGCCGCGGACAAGCTTCGGGCAGTGGACAAATTTTACACTCCTATCAATGTTAATGTTAACATGTCAATGTGAATATTCACATTGTTACGGGTCGGGCCAAGCTCGCCTCGGGCTGCGGTCGGGCTTCGGGCCACCCGCGGGCTGCGGGCCAATCTTACACTCTTATCAATGTGAATGTTAACATGCCAAATGTGCATATTCACATTGTCAACGGGTCGGGTCGGGCCCGCCCTAGGCCGCTGGCCAATTTTATACTCTTATCAATGTGAATGTTAACATGCCAATGTGCATATTCACATTGTCAACGGGTCGGGTCGGGCCCGCCCTAGGCCGCTGGCCAATTTTATACTCTTATCAATGTGAATATTCACATTGTCAACAGGCCGGGCCGCTCACGGGCTGTGGGCGAGTTTCGGGCAGCCACGAGGCGCGGGCTAATTTTACACTCCTATCAATGTGAATGTTAACATGTCAATGTGAATATTCACATTGTCAACGGGCCGGGCCCGTCCCGGGCCACGGGCGGGGTTTTGGCCGCCCATGGGCTGCGGGCCAATTTTGTACTCTTATCAATGTGAATGTTAACATGTCAATGTGAATATTCACATTGTCAACGGGCCGGACCGGGCTTGCCTCAGGCCGCCCATGGGACGCGGGCCAATTTTACACTCCTATTAATGTGAATGTTAACATGCCAATGTGAATATTCACATTGTCAACGGACTGGGCCTGCCCCGGCCTGACTCGAATTTTTTCGGGCACCCACGAGGATCGACATGGGCCGGGCCCCTACACATTGACGATATGAACATTCACATTGACGGTGTGAACATTCACATTAGGGGTATTTTGATAATTATGTCACCCATAGGACTTATTGAAACATAAGAAAATAATATAAACTAAATGGAACATAAGTAGATGAAAAAAGTATTTTGATCTTCTTATCTCAAATAGGACCTAATGGAATAGTCAAAAAGAATATGGGTTTGATGGAATTAAGCTTTTAGAAAGTGGATTTATCAAAAAAGCTCTCTTATTTCATTTTTTCTCTCACAACCAATAAATCAACTATATATTAAAAAAAAAAACTATCTTTCAAAACACAGTTTTGTTAGTCATGCTAAAATAGTCAAAAAAAAAAAAACTAATTAAAATAGCCAACTTTCCAAATGAGACCATTAGAGTTGTAAAAATCTTCTGGGTATTGTCTGAATTTTGGCTTGGAATTTGAGTTATACAATTATTTTTTAAATAATAATTGCTATTATTGATTGTAACAACCCTCGTCACTGTTTACCGATTAGCCACTGATTACTGCTAAACTGAGACTGATTATGATAAGTAATCGAACTGATTGAAATACTGAACTGACTAACTAAAATTTGGAACTGAATTGACTGAGTATGTCTGTTTAATTGTGCATTTATCTATTCGACTGTTTGATTATCTGTTTGTGTATTTATGTTTTAACTGCTAATTGAAGGCCTTATCGGCGGTCGAATCTGAAATCGATATACGCTTTACGATCATTGGAATTTATATGATTTTATGGCGTATTTATCTACAATGTGATTTAGTATGATTAAATTATATTAGAATAAGCTTAATGTCAAGAGTTAGCGTAATTGCCATTTTGCCACATGAGTGGCCCACTACCTAGCCTATATTTGAGCCTCATAACAC